CTCAAGTTGTCGGTTACATATACGGATGGAAAGATAGACATTCAACTGAAACAACTTCTCGTGTAGAGGAATTTCAACACATAACAGTTCTATCTGGTATTACCTGCGACCAGTACTCGGATTTGGTTAAGAGCATGCCAGAACATAATGGTGATCAAACGCGTTATGTGTCAGACAGTGTGCTCTTTGAAGGTCTTTGAATAATATAAGGGAATCTGACGGTGATAGTGCCATGGTGAGCCATGGTAGGCCATGGGCATAGTTAGGAAAAATTATAGGTTCGGCAGATGTGGTATTATCTTCTTATAATACAATTCTAAATTTTTATGCAATAAATTCGAGATTAGATTTCACATATTCTGACAAAAAAACGATCTAGTTAATCGAACAAGAGCTTTCAATGCTCAGTTCAGGATCAATATCGATTGTCAAGTACTAGAATGAGATCGAGCGCAAACTAATTATGCTAATAAATAAAACTACAATGCTTCATGGTGACAGCACACCACTTATTGAGTCACTCTGCAAGAAATATCTTAAAAAGGCACTTCGTGTTTTCATTTCCGGTCTTAATAAAACTTAATGTTACATTTTATTTTCATCAAAACCAATAGACCTTCCCTCTGCATTAGCCTTGGCTTGGCGAGCTGGAATGACCGAAATGATGAAATGACCATTCATAAAGGTAACTCCTTTGGAAGGTAGGAGTTACCATATGAAACAGGAAATATATGTCCAGGATAGCGATTATTACGAATTTAATATCTATAAAAAATACGACAATTATAATTGCAACAATCAGGTTGCAGATAATGAAGAATTTTAACTCACCGTAATGATGAAATCCATTTGTTAGAATAGATCTTTTTTGTCGTAGAGTATTCGCCGATCCTGATAAAGCTTTGCCCTATAACAAAACATAGTAGTCATATTTAGAACAGTTGATAACCTTCCGGTCTTCTTTAAAAGTTTGCGGTGGAGTTTGTCAATGCTGAAATTGTTATAGCAAAACCCCTTAATATAATATAAGTACGTAACAACCTTTAATTACGTATCTTAACGTGTCATCAATTTCGGCACATGCTAATACCTTTCCCAAGACAAAAGCAATGCAATGTAGACATAATTGTTAGTATAAACCAAATTAATTTGTATCCGAATAAATTTGGTAAATTATTAGATTTAGTATATGTTGATACCTCTTCAAAGCGTTCAGTTATTCAGAGTAATCCTTTTGTTCTACCAGAGGACTCGTATCATCCTGCTTTGGAAATATCTGTCGAAATCATAGGCAATGTACGGGGTAGTAATCATCAAACTTCTAGCTTCTGTACTCGGTCTAACTTTGCAAAGGCTAATTTTAAAAAGTTAAATAAAGAACTTTCTACGATAACATGGCCTAATTATAATGGTGATATTGAATTAAGTTTCTTGCTTTTTAATAATATTAGGACGAAATTATTTGAAAAGTATGTTCAAACAGTAATTGTTACAAAGGTAAAAGTACAAGTCTGTGGTTTTCGAAAGAGTTACATAAATTGAAAAACAGAAAACTCGCCCTACTTAATTTGAATAAGTTAAAAGCATCTTTAAGTTGCGCCCCAGACAAGATACCCTCATGTTTCCTAAAAAATAGTGCCAAATATATTTACTTGCCTTTGACAAGGATATTTAATTTCTTTCTTAAAGACGGTGCTTTTCCTTAAATATGGAAAGTCATTTATAATAAGGTATTGCAAAACTATCAGTTATACCTAATTTTTTTGAAAGTATCATCGCAGACCATATAACTTTTTCGATTTCTCCGTTAATTTCCTCATCTCAGCATCAATTTCGTAACCATGAATCATTTTTTTAGGTTGGGGTTTTAGGGAGCATAAGCATACGAATGTTAGCTTCTTATCTTTATAATAGAACACAATGAGTGATATTTGAGGATACTCTTTTAGATACCATTAATGTCTCTTGGCCCGATTCTGTTCTTGCTGTTTATTAACTGTAATAGAATTCTCAAAAATTTTAATATACGCCGACGTCTTAAAGCTTTTTAAATCATATACTTCACGAATACAATGTATCTGACTTAACCATTTTGGATGCTTGAAATAATTTGCCATTGAATCTCAATAAATGTTAGACGATGTGCTTTTTCCACATATCTGTGCACCTCTCTCCTTATGTAATTAAACACCATAGTCTAGTGCAAGTTTTTAACTTTGTTGATTTGGGAGTTAGTATGGACCCTAAGCTTAATTTTAGTCTTCATATTGATACCATGGTCTTGAAAGTAAAAGCTGTGCTCAGTTTTGTTAAACGTTGGTCTGAAGAATTTAGAGATCTGTATGCTACTAAAACACTTTATACAACTTTGGTTAGACATATATTGGAATATGGCCCTGTTGTATGGAACCCTAGCAACCAAATCCATTCCGACAAGTTAGAGGGAATTCTATGTTAAGTCTACCTCCATACTATGGTCGTTTAAAACTTATAAATCTACCTACACTTTCTAGTCGTAGAAAATTATTGGCATAATATTCTTAGTGAAAATCTTAAATGGAACAGTTTGCAGTTCTTTTTAAATTAAATATCCCGTTCGCTTTTCGAGGCAGTTTAGACCTTCACTGTTAAATCCTGTAGATCAAATTTCGAACTAAACGAGCCATTCCGCCGTATTTGTCATAATATTAATTCTCATTCCAGCACATTTGATTTATCTATAATATAAATAACCAGATATTCGTTAAAACGTATTTTTAAATCATAGCTGTTGAAGTTTTTGTTTCTGTAGCTGAGCAGTTTTAAATCTCAACACTTAAAAAACTCTCTTGCCTTTTCTGGCTCGGCTAATTCCGCACTACTTAACACAAGTTGCAACATAAGAAGCTACTTGTTCGGTGAACAAAGCATACACCGAATGGAAGCTTATGCAGTTCTGCTGAGTTGACCCTTGCGATTATTCGTAATGTGAATCACTCGTGGGTGTAATTTTTCGTTGCCGGAAATGACGTTTGCGCCGTCCCAACTTTTAAATATCGGGTTTCCCAATAGGGATAATGGGATTTCCTAGTGTCATTTAATATGTCATGATCTGTAATTTTTTTTTATCATTGTAGATATATGCAAGAACAACAAATTATTATACTCTCGCAACCTGTTGCTACAGAGTATAATAGTTTTGTTCACCTAACGGTTGTTTGTATCACCTAAAACTAATCGAGTTAGATATAGGGTTATGTATACAAGTATATAAATGATCAGGATGAAGAGACGAGTTGAAATCCGGGTGACTGTCTGTCCGTCCGTCCGTCCGTCCGTGCAAGCTCTAACTTGAGTAAAAATTGAGATATCTTTATGAAACTTGGTAGACATGTTTCTTGGTACCGTGAGACGGTTGGTATTGCAGATGGGCGTAATCGGACCACTGCCACGCCCACAAAACGCCATTAATCAAAAACAAATAACTTGCCATAACTAAGCTCCGCAATAAGATACAAGACTGTTATTTGGTACACTAGAAGGAAATGTTTTTAGCACTTCTATTGACGGTGTGAAAATAGTTGAAATCGGGTGGCAACTCCGCCCACTCCCCATATAACGGTACTGTTAAAAACTACTAAAAGCGCGATAAATCAAGCACTAAACACGCCAGAGACATTAAATTTTATCTCTGGGATGGTATAAATTGGCTTTATAGAAACCGCGTTCAAAATTAGTCAGTGGGCGTGGCACAGCCCACTTTTAGGTGAAAACCCATTTCTTGAGATCTGCTCAACGGATTTCAACCAAATTCGGTGCATGCGATACTGTCGTCGATATTAAGGGTGACGTCTTCCAGCTTCTTCCTGCTTGTAATCAGTACTGCTTCAGTTTTTTGTCCAGCAAGCTGGAGGTTTGTTGCAGCGAGCCAATCTTTGATTTTTGTTGCCGTCTGATTACATAGGTTCTGGATTTGATCCAGTTCCTTTGCTACCACTGTTACCGCAATGTCATCTGCGTATCCTATGATCTGCACTTCCTTCGGTAGTGGCAGGCACAGCACACCGTCGTAGAGTACATTCCATAACAGTGGGCCGAGCACAGAACCCTGTGGTACTCCACCCGATACCGTATACTTTTTGGGTCCGTCATCGGTATCGTACAGCAACTGTCGATCTAACAGACAGCTGGCTACAATTTTCACTAGGTAAGCAGGTGTTGCCTTCCAGTGCGCTTATTATATGAGGCCAATAAGTCGAGTTAAACGCATTTTGTACATCAAATGTTACCACAGCGCAGTATTCCTTTGTCCCATACATCCATCTATTTCCTTCGATTACCTTGTTAGCGATATCAGTGACCAAAGCCGTTAAGGCTGGTGTCGCAGTATTGCGTTGGAAGCATGGGGCCACGTAACTCCCTATGGGTCTTAAGGCCTGACCAGGTCTTAAGATGGCTCCATCCATTGCATGTATTGCACCTAACCGAGGTGGAGTTTGGATGGAGCCTTTTAGCGCATACGCAGCAAAAGAATTCCTCGGGGCCCGGGTTGGACTCGATACCAGCACGGGTCAAGAGGATACGGAGCAACCCTGCTGCTAGGTATTGCTCTAGTGACGACAGACTTAGACTAACATTTACCGATCCAAACAGGGTTAGATCGCCGAAATAACAGCCCTTGGCCCGATGAAATCTGGGTCAATTCCGGTAACGTAGAACCGGCTGTTGTGGGAATTGCTGTTGTTGACGACGTTTTTCCTATCGCTTGGAGATACCGAAATCTAACATAAACATCGTACCTTGAAGTTATGTTTTGTTTTTGTTATGTAATATTGTTTATCTTGTTACAAAATATATATTGGAAATACAAAGTATATACTTTATAATAACTGACCCATATACAATTATGATGAAAAGATGACTGTTTGTATGTGCAAATACGTTTTCTAAAAGAGATTTCAAATTCATTTCATTGACAAACGTTTATACCTTTGTTTTTTCTATAATTTTCAAATGAATTCGAAAAAACTAGTGTCATTATTTAGTTCTGTATTTCATCCACAATACGCAGCTTTATGAATCATGTAAATATTGTTTGGTTTTTACAAGCATTTTTCCGAACCCTTGTAAAACTGTGAAATTCGGCCGGTTTTTTTCGCATAAGCAGCTGCAATATTAGCAGAAAATGGAACGCCTATTGTAACATTTCACAACCTCCTTCATTACGCGTGATGATCGATGAAGTCTCGCCTGTGTATGACTCATTGCTATCGCTGGGCGATGAGAAACAAATCACAAATGCGATAATCATATGCATGCTCTGCCACCTAATCCAAGGATTGTGAAGTAACCTTGAATAGACAGTACCAGCACCTATCAGCGGAAGTAGCAGCGTGTTCGAGAACGAGACGCATAGTCGCAATCAGCGTGAATCACGTGAACAGGAAAAAGTCAGCTTTAGTTGCTGCAATTACAAAGCAGCAGTGTCAGCAGTGCGAATCAAATTACGATAATTTAGCTGCCGCTCCACTTTCAACACTCTCTCTGTGCAACAGAGATTTGAGTCTGTTAAATCATTGTCTTATGCATAAATTGTTTGCGTATGGCAGATACGGCATCCAAGTGCAGAGCGGATCGATGTCGTGTGTGCAATCCCGTTTCTTTTGCTGCTATACCTAATCCGCGACTAACAACAAATACACATGTAATACAACAAGTGTGCCTGATCGGGTAATGTTGGTAACAGCAGTATTCTTGTGAGAACCAGCTGTAAAGAATCCCTGCCCGCAAGAGCCTTGCTGGCTCAGGATCACAAGTCAACTTTATGACGGAGGATTTGGGCCAAAAACTGCGGATTCGACGCCAAAACAGGACGTTATATATTATAGAAATTGGAAACTTTAATATGTAAGTCAGGGCAATATTAAGCGCGTTTGTTAAATAGCGGGTAAATAATCACAAACTTTCGGCGGAGTTCCGGATTATGCGATGTATTTCGGATAATCATCCAGACCATAACATCAATGTTAATGGTTGGAAAAATCCGCACAATATTGAATTGGCGGATCCAAAATTCCAAAATATTGATATATTATTGGAAGCAGAAACCTTTTTGATCTGTTAACTGAAGGCAAAATTAATAGTGGTTCTAATCAACCAACGCCACAAAAAACTCTTTTGCGATGGATTGTGTTCGACAAATATGTCAGCAGTGTAAGGCTCCTCCCGTCGTAAATATCACACTGTGCCAAACTGAGAGAAAGACTAAACTTAGGTAGTCCAAAAATGTTGGGCTCTTGAGGAACTTCCTTCCCCTTCAGGATGCAGCAGGCCCTGGAGAAGAGAAAATTAAAAGATCCAGAACTTCGTAAAATGTATTTGGACTTAATGAATGAGTATACATCACTAGGTCATATGAGCACAACAAATAATAAGATCCCGAGTGAGCCACACTATTTCATTCCGCGTGAGTGCGTTTTGAGGCCCGAGGGAACAACAACAAAACTACGAGTTCTTTGGTGCGTCGAGTCGTACTTCTTCTCAAATTTCATTAAATCAGCTTTTGATGGTAAGCCCAACCATCCAAGAAGGATTGTAATCAACTCTTCTTCGTTTTCGCTTACATAAGTACATTTTAACAGCAGACATTACTAAAATGAACCGCCAAATAATTATGCAGGAAGAAAAAAAAAAATTGTCATCTTATTGTGCATCGCTCAGAGTTCAGTTTATTCGACTTAACGGCACTGCGCCTGCACCATTGCTCGCAACACGGTATTTACAAATGATCAGCGATGCTAATGCAGATACCTATCCACTCGATTCATTTTCCAGTAAAAGATACTTTCTATGTTGATGACTTATTAACAGGATCTGAAACTATAAGAAGTGAGGTGGTAGTTAAAATATTAACCTCGGATGGATTCACCTTAATGAAGTGGTTTTGCTAAACGACCGCTAAACGAAACATATTGTCAGTCTCTGCTCGCCAATCTGCTGGTTGTGATAAATGTACGCTGCTTACTGCAAAGTCTAGAGTGGCTCCGCTGAGGCCCAAGTCTCTTCAACGTCTCGAGCTCTTGGCGGCACACCTTTCAAAATTATGGTATAGGCGCTACTATATTGAATCGATTATTCGAAAAAATTTGGGCAGACTCCATTTTCAGGGTTGCAACTCCGAAGTGAATAATTCCATATGGTTTGGCGGTCCAAAGCTGCTTCTAAAAGACCCGGCTTTATGGCGGCTTTTACGATGGATTAGACGACTAAAAATGGCTGTTTTGAAAATTGTTCAGGTGGTTCAATTTGCGAATGAAATCCCAAAACTGACTAAAGGCACCACGCCACCCGCTAACGTGTAAAAACTCTACCCGTCAAATTAATCCCAGTAGGATGTCGCCTATTAAATGCACCTCTTCCATAAGATATCGAATAATTTCTTTGTTTTCGCCCTAAAAAGGTTCATTGGTCGCCGAGGGATGCGCCAGACCATTTACAGCTACAACGCAACCAATTTCGTCGGCGCCGACCGCAAGCTGCGCGAACTCAAAGAGGCGTTTCTGTCCCAGTCTCCAGAAGTAATGCGATTCGCTGCCGAAGTAGGATTCAAATTCGTCTATATACCACCCAGGGCGCCGCACTTTGGCTGGTTATGGGAGGCGGTAGTGGCTGCACCCGAAACGGAGTCTTCAGCCCGACGATATCGTTCTTGTTCACGAAGACAACGTAGGAACGCAGCAGTGCGTATTAGGACGAGTCGTCGCAACCGTAGAAGGAAAGCAAAGGTACGAGTGGCAGACGCGGTAACCAAGGCAGGCACAATTAAGCACAATATAAACTCGCCCTGCTATCAAGGTGGACGGTGTTGCGTCAAGCGACTTTGCAAAACAAAATAAAAATATATTTTAAAAATAAATTTAAAAATTCATTTCATGTTCATTCAATAAGCTCTATTCTTATATTTTTGTGGTCATCGATGCGCTTTCAAAATTGTTCTGGCTATACCCAACTCGCAGCACAGGGACAGAGGAGGTTATTGATCGTCTTAAGAACCAATAATTTGAGTCGATATAAGAATCAGTCATGTACCACAGCTAAGTGAACTCTTGGACAATGAGGTTATCAAGGAGATCAATAAGGAGTGAGAACACTGAGTGAGCGTAAGAAAACGAATGTGAAAATGAAGAAAGAAAATATACGTAGCTTTAACGCGCGACTATTGACTACTTCGGATGTACAATAACACAAGTTATATTCAAATTTAATAAACTAATGTAATTTTTAATAATTAAAACCAGAAAGTGTTGTAATAAAATTAATTTAATGGCCAATCCACATATATTTCCCTTCCGCTTTTTTGCTCTTCATTCAATGCTTTATAAAAAGTGTTACAGTGATCGGATTTAGTTAAAATATGCGCCGTTTTGTTCGATGATCTGTTTCCATCTAGACGGCAACTTCATAATACCTTCCGCGTAGAAGCCCCCCTCCTTATTTGCGAAGAATTCGGACAGCCACTTTTCGCAAGCCTCTTTTGAGTTCAACTTCACACCACCAAGGGCATTCGCCATGGACAGAAACAGGTGGTAATCACTTGGCGCTACGCCCGGGACGCTTCTGGTCGATCGCCTGCTTCAAGCGGTCCAGTTGTTCGCAGTAGATGGTAGAATTAAGCGTCTGGCCATATGGGAGCAACTCATAGTGGGTGATTCGGTTCCAATCCCACCAAACACACAGCAAAACCTTCCTGGCCGTCAATCCCGGCTTGGCCACTGTTTGGGACGATTCACCGGCCTTCGACCACGACCGTTTTCGCTTGATATTGTCGTATGTGATCCATTTTTCGTTGCCATTCACCATCCGCTTCAAGAATGGGACGAGTTCGTTCCGTTTCAGCAGCATATCGCAGGCGTTGATTCGGTCCAGAAGGTTTTTTTGCGTCAAATTATGCGGCACCCAAACATCAAACTTTTTTTTGTATCCAGCCTTCTGCAGATGGTTCAAAATGGTTTGGCGACTAACTCCCATCTCCTGGGTGATGTCACGAGATGCCATATGCCGGTCTAACTCGATGTATTCCATGATTTGATCGGTATTAGTCGTCACAGGTCTTCCGCCGGCTGGCTTATCCATGGTGTCGTTTTCACCGGCTCTGAATCGTCGAAACTATTCCTCCGCGGTTCGAAGTGATAGAGTACCATCCCCCAAAACACCATTAATCTCACGGAACGTTTCTCTAGCGGATTTGCCTTTAACGAAGAAAAACTTTAAAATAGCGCGAATTTCGGCGTTAGTGAACTCCATGTTTACACGTCTATAACTGTTGAACGCAATATCCAAACTAATCATGCATAGCGTTGTTTTGTAGGTTATGTCAAGACCTTTCAAATTATGTATAGTGTTGCCAGATACGAGCTCTGTAGCGCTTTGTACATAGCCGCGAAATTCAAAAGACAAAAAAGCGGAAGGGAGATATTTGACAACCTTATATTTTCAAGTTTAATTTTTTATAGCCTATTCGGAACAGTTACATTTTCACTTTATTCGCATTTGATTACTTACTTATATATGTCAATAATATCACATTGATATTTACATACAATAAAGTTGTCTTCAGCACATATCAGCTTCAGAATTGGCGCAAAAGAGATTAACATCCATTTTCGAAAACTATTAATTAACATCCTTTTTTTTTGTTTTGCTTACGAAAGATTTCATATTGTTTTGTATGGTTCTTTAGTTTTTCAAATTTAACTAATAGGTAGTTGACATGACGCCCGGAGAGGATAGAATCATGATTAACTGAATCATGGGAATAAATGAAACTACCTTCGAATTTTTAAACAATGCATTCAGCTCTTCACGAAATAAATATAGTTGATGCAAACTTTAGTAGGGCAAGTTGGAGAATCAATAATCTACATTTATTGTGGTTAATTTCGCAATATATGCTCTTCCGTTCAGTTCATTCAACCTTTAAAATCAGGTTCTGAGAAAGTGTATAGTGCACTTCCTAAAATCGGCTTACTTATTTTTAAAGGAAGTTACGATAAACTCTAACTTAACAATTAAGCTGGCTACCCGATTGAAATTAATATGAAAAATTTGTTTATTTATTAAATAAGATATCTACATATAATACGTAGGTAAAACATTTATAATATTTTTACGATGACGTATTGGTTTCCACATCTGTCAGATAACAGAAAACATGGCATTAACGCTTATATTACAAAACAAAAATGAATTTACATTTAACTTTGATCCATTGACGAGTTTTCAATATTGACCGAATTTGAGTCTTTTTGAATGCATTCGTAAATTTTGCACAATTCCGGTGTATCTTTGATTATTTTCAAAAAATCCATTAAGTGTTGATTTTTGTCTGAAATATAATTAAATTCCGAAACCGTAGAGACAAAAAAAAACTTTAACTCACCTGCATTAGGTATTTGGGATAACGCAGAAACAGCTCTTAATGCAGACCTTTTTAGTTCATCTTGTTTTTCATGTTCTTGTTTCACGGAATTTGCCTTTACTTTGTAGGTACACGTTTCCCGCAATTGCAGCACAAACTGGTCAAGTTCTAAACAAAACAATTATAATTTAGTTTAGCAAAGATATACACTGGACACTAAACATACGTTGTAAAACTGCATCAGGGCATAAAACAGCTAAACGCGCAGTCATTAAATATGTTAACATTTTTATGTCATAATGATCGCATAAACCAGCTTGCACGTGTCCCAAAAATTGTTTCACATCAACTCGGTCCAATCCTTGCTCTAACAAAGTATACATACATTCAAAAGCTGCCTTGCGAATGTCTAGACCATCGTCAACAGTATGCTTAAATGGACCCATTTCAACTTCACGAATTAATTCAGGCTATAAATAGTTTAACGAAAGTTTAACAATGTACATAATTTAAATGATAATGGTAAAAACTAACCTTAACTTTCGTTTCTGAGTATAAAAAAGGCAATAATGTGGGCAGTAGGTCACGTACTAATGTTGGTTTGTTATGAATGGCCGCATTGAATGTGACCAATGCTACTCTCCTTACTCCTGGTTCGGGATCACGAAGAGAGGAAAGAAACTCGCCTAGATTTTGTTTTAATAAGTGGTCTATTGGTTGCGGTTGATCTGATATAGTAAATTTTATGGACGATACTACCACGGCTCTCATAATTGCGTTATTAGAATATAAAGCATCGCGAAGCTGTGGCAATAGTTCATCTGGGTTAACCAAGATTAATTTTCCGAGACATTCTGCAACAACATTTCGAGAACCCTCTTCAGAACTCTCACAATGTTTTATAAGTTGCACCCAAATAGATGGAACGGAAGGTAGTAATTGGGAAAGTCCGTGTTGGGTAACAGATAATGCTGATATAACTTCCTTTAGTGAATGCAATAACAAGTACTGACGTTTTGGTTGTCCTTCTATTTCTTTAAGTATAAGAGGTAAGTAAGTTTTTAAACTTCCAACTGCAACAGCACCTAAAGCCAAACTTGATGAACTCTTGACGTCTTCAGAACAAACACCAAAACAATCAATTAGAGTTTGTGGTAAAGATAAAATCGGACTTAAGTCAAAATTGCGACCAATCTCTCCAATTGTTAATAGACAAAAGCCCATTTTTATATCATTAGATTCAGTTGTTTTTTGAATATAATCAAGCAGACGCGACGCCAAAGGTATGGCTTCCCATGGGCACTTTAGAGTGAGTGATGCTATACATTTAGCTAAAGAATGATGTGCTTGTTTATGAACTTGCTCATTATCAATGATAACTGGATCCATAAGTTTATTGAGCAAAGAATTGTAACCCAAATGTTGAATATTTGTTTGAACTAAGACTTGAAGAAGGTTTAACGTACATGTCAGTGCACCACCCTAAAAAACATACAGTCTGTATAGTAATTAATAAATAATAATAAAAAGAATTACTTACTTGTAAAAGTGGCGATCGCACCAGCATTAATACAGCAGGCAAAAATTGCTCATGAGTATCTTCAAGAGCTTTGGGATGTTTAAGGGCAGTCGCTGTTAAAAGTATTAAACAATATTGAGCAATATGGAGATCGGAATCTGATATTAGCGGTTTAAGCTCAACAATTACTAATTGTAGAATTTGGGGATTAAATGCAGGAGAATAATTCTCAACCAATTTGTTTAGTAAATCTAAAGAATGCAATCTGAGAGCTCTATTATTTTTTCGTAAAAATGAGCCTAATATGGGAATAATTTCTTTTATTATTAAAGTCAAATCGATTCGTAAAGGAGATGAAGCGATCATATGAATTGCTTTAACGCTACTTAGACGAGTTATTTCATTATTAAGCCGTTCCATCAATATTGGAAGGCAAGTTTGAACTTGCGGAACTAAAAAGTCGCCCATATTTGCTATTATTTGGCCCATACAAGTTATAGCACGATCTTTAACTTCCTGATCAACATCAGATGTCATTAATTTTTTTAGTGTAGCAGAATATAGGTCTTCCACAAAAGGTCCTATTTTAAAAGTACCAGGTAATATGGGATCGTCTAAAGGCCTTATAACCTTTACAAGTTGTTGCATGACTTGAAGTGCTTCTGTAGAAATTTTATAAAATGAATCAAATACAGCAGTAATTATAATTGGTACCAATGTGGGAATATGAGGTTGAAAAAGATATGTAGGTGAATGACATGTAAAAAGAGAGCATAAGAATCCTAATGCACTAATTTTAATGTTACTTGTTGAATTTTTATCACATAGTGCGTAACTTATACCAGGGACAATATCATTTAAGTATGGCCCTAAGCTTCCAGGTAATACATTTAATAATTCTCGCAATAAAAGAAAACAGTCCTGACGAGTTTTCATCGACCGTTCACGCATTAGAGGTTGGATAATTTTAATAACATCTTTTAGTTGATCTTGAAGAAGAGAGAAGATTCGGGGAATTTCTTCCATTGAATCTGGATCTTGTGCTAAAGGATGTGGAGCCTTTGCACTTTTCAACAAAGTTATGTATACATGAAATATGTCCGACTTCACATTTTCTTCTCTTTCTTTCAAACGCAAAATTAATATAGGTCCCAAGTCTTGGCAAAAACTCTCAATAAATTCATGGCGAGTTATTATTAAAGCTTCCAAACATTTTGCGGCAGCACGACGAACTTTCCAGCTTATATCATCATCATCACTGTAATCATCACTGTCGACATATTCTCCTTCTTCAGTATCCATCGCAAGGCAACTGTGACCATCATCAGATTCATAGTTATAGTTGGGATCGTAACTTAAATATTGAAGGCAAATATCCAAAATCTATTCCACGAAAAAAGAAAAATATGTTTATTAATAGTGTTAATTCCAGGCATAAATATAAAATAGCAACGCCGATATTTGTATCAGTATTGAACCAAACCAACTTTCTACCAGATATTGAGGTATAAGTAAAATTGATATTTCTCTGTTTTACCCTACAAATTAGAAAAACAGTACTCACTCGGTAACCGCAACGCTCGTTAACACAATGTAAGGCAACCTTAATAAGTACAACTCAAAAAAAAAAAAAATTAACTCTGCAAAATTAGTCAAACATGACACATTTGTACAACGTAATGCAACATTGATAAGTACAACTAAAAAAAAAAATTGAGCTCAGCAAAAATAGCCAAACATGACACATTTGTATTTTCGATACAAATTTAATCTTGTAATTCTCACATTTATTTATTAAAGTAACGTTTCTATTTACAGTAAATTAATTCAATATTTATTATTATCTTTTAAATCTTACCGTATTTTTTGTTTAAAAACAATAAGATCTCAATATCCGATCTTTTTAAGTAACCAATCTTTCACACAACATGCACCTTTATGTAGTAAAGGTAAATCAGATGACAGAAAGTTACAGCCATTTCAATAAAATAAAAAATGTGCGATTGATCCATTTTTACTAAAAGCAGATATTATATAAACAACAACAACAGACAAGGACGTATAAATTACACAACAACACCTGCCGATCGAAAACGTACCTATGTCTGTCGTGTATGGCCACTTTAATTGTAATTTTCTTGTCTATGCGTACCTATAATTTTAAGAAAATTGCTTTCTTGCCGGCAGTGTATTTAGTCCTGCCATAAGTTCTTTTACAAGTTCAGACTATTATAAAAATTAAATTACTTATACAAAAATGTTTAATAAAATTAAATTTATTTAATATTAAATGAGCGATGTACAAAATTGTATTTGAAATGGTCTCCGTTTGCTTTCACACACTTAAAAAATTCAGCCATCGATCAATAGCAGCACTTACAGTTTCTGTTGATACTCACCTCGTTGCACGAACGATATATTTTTGGAGTAAATTTTCAGTGGGGTATCTGATAGGCCATATTCTCCAACTCTGAACACATACTGTAGTCCAGTAGATTCCAATCTTGACTTTGAGATGATTAATCATCTACAGCTATAAAACCAGGCGTTTTTTCATCTGTAAAAAAATATCTTCCTGGCCGTTGACCGCGTACCACTGAAGAGCCGCTTGCATCTGTTGACCCTCATTTGTTTCAAGCGCTTTGTCAGAAGATGACTAGTTGACCGACAGTAGACTTTTAGTGGAGGTAAACTCAAATAAATCTTGACATTTTACTGATCGATACATTCATTTCCTTTGACATCCTTTTTTGTTTTCTAGGGATTTCTGCGATGTCGTTCGCGAACACTTTATGGCTGAATTGATCGGAAGCACGCGAGGTCAAGCACTTCTTTTTCTGTCATCAACTGTAGACGCTTGGGAAAATCGATCAATATTACGATAAACAAACATTCTCAAGATATTAAGTTTTTTGAGAATCTCATAAATTTCACTTGCGTTTTTTCCACACTTACGTAAAGCAATCACTGAAATACGATTTTCTTTTGCTCCCCACACCATTGTTAATAAACAACAAGTAAGGAAGTTCTAAGTTCGGGTGTAACCGAACATTTTATACTCTCGCAACTTATAAGGTTCAAAGCCCTGGAAATTACTTCAGGTGTTGGCAAATTTTATATTAAAGGAAGTATTGATCGGAATCAACCCATTTTTGACACAAAGACATACTATTATCGATAGTTTCATTTATTTATTCTATTATATGAATTTCAATTATATATCTTACACATTAACCGATATTTTCGGTAAAAAGTCAACTATAGGCACTGGGATCCACATATTTGGTACTTAGGGGCTTGAACAGTTTTGGTTCGATTTATACAATTTTCGGTCACAAGGTGGCATACTTAAACGCATTATTCATGCAAAGTTTTATCCCGATACAGTCATTGTTGCCTGATTTGCATAGTGGAAAGTGAAAGAATCAGATGGCGTGGTTGTAGTCCGATTTCACCCATTTTCGTGCTATAACATAGAAATATGAGAATAAGGCTAAAAAAATATTAACTGCAGATGCCCCTCCCTAATGTGATCCTGTGTACCAAATAACAGTCTTGTATATTATTGCGGAGCTTAGTTATGGCAATTTATTTGTTTTTGATTAACGGCGTTTTGTGGGCGTGGCAGTGGTCCGATTACGCCCATCTGCAATACCAACCGTCTCACGGTACCAAGAAACATGTCTACCAAGTTTCATAAAGATATTTCAATTTTTACTCAAGTTAGAGCTTGCACGGATTTCAACTCGTCTCTTCATCCTGATCATTTATATATACATAACCCTATATCTAACTCGATTAGTTTTAGGTGATACAACCAACCGTTAGATGAACCAAACTATTATACTCTGTAGCAACAGGTTGCGAGAGTATAAAAACAAACACTGAGCTGATTATTATATATGAGTAGACACTGCGTACAAATTATAAGAAAAAACAAATAAAGAAGGATTAAGTTCGGGTGTAACAGAACATTTTATATTCTTGCAACTTACAAGGGTCAAAGTCAAGGAAATACTTTCAGGAGTAGAAAACCTTTACAATATATTGAAAAATATTGCGACAGAATTTAAAAATTATTATTCGAATAAAATCGAGAATGTATAACAATTAAATTTGGTATTGAAGGTCATGGACTCACTTAATTTTATTAATATATTTGACTTCGCGTCAAAAATTAAACTAAATCGAAGTAACTAAATTTAATATATTGGGTTGATGTTGAAACCGTCAACCACAGGATCGGAAATCATTATATTAGGGATATGAGGTTTAAACCAAGGTGTAGACCAACTATATTCATATTCGGCGGTAAACCACATTATCATTAAGATATCACATATTTTGACCATCCCCAACGGCTTAAAGTCAGGTTGAACGCCGGAAACCATTATATAGGCTATATTAGGGCAGAGAAAGGGATTGCATTGATTTTCACGTTGATCAGGTATATTTAAGAACATATTTTCAATTTTGTAAATCCTCTGCCTAGTCTTAGTGCCTTAAGTTGTGAACGCCGTTCGTTAAGGGAGAGCTTGGTAGTGAGTTGATCCTTTGACCGACTCAACCCTTAACTTTCGGTCGCCATAAGTCTCCAGAGCATCGGCGCGCATCACCGTCGAACGCCGACGTATCCAGTCGAACATCATCACCGCGGGACGCAAACGTAAGGCATCCTTAGTCGCTTAGCACCCCCAGAGCGCGGCAGAGTAGAAAATCTTATCGTATAACAGCTATTCAACGGAGCCGCGGATGACGCTACTGCGGCAAGGAATGAATGTCTCGCAGTAAGGCGATCCTCTGGCAGGCATTTCACTCTTTACATAGATAGCATAGATTTGTAAATGGGCCCATAGTTTATAAATTTATTGTAACGAACCCTGGACACGACGAGTAAATCTCAGCAAATTAGAAGAAGCAGGACAGAAAAAATCTTTGTTACAATTGACGCTCGAGCAGGGACACTTTGCACTGACTTCATTGGACCCTACCCGCGATCCACGCTTGGTAATACTATGTTATTAGTATTCTTCGACCGAGCACGATTTGGCGTCCCGAAAATTCTTATTTCGGACAACGGCGTCGAATTTACTAGTTAGCTATGGCAACACTACCTAAACTAGGGGTACGCCAGCAATTCACTGCACCCCTCCAGAGAATCCCTCGGAACGAGTCAACCGGACAATTTAACGAATTATAGCACAACTCAGTAAATCCCTACACTAACGATGGGACGGTTTTCTCCCAGAGATCGAGGTCGCAGCGAATACCAACATCTCGGCCCCCACGGGGTATAGCCCGGCATTCCTCTTACAAGGACGAGAGCCGCGACTGCAAAAGGCCCTTTTCGACGAAGTTAATATCGGCACAGGTATTTCACCCACGACGGCTGAGGAAAATTCCAAGAGGATGCAGGAGGCCTTCAAAATTGTTCAGCAAAATATAGAGAGGGCGACGACGGATCAAGCCTGCCATTATAATCTGAGACGCAGAAAATGAACCCCCGCAATCGAAGAACTAGTTCTCGCGAAAGATTATCACCTCTCTAAAGCCACTGAGGGTTTCGCCGCAAATCTAGCCCCGAAGTACGATGGCCCGTATCAATTTCTCAGGTACATCTCATCAGTCATCGTCCAAATTCGAAAAATTGACGGTGGAATGGAGAAAACGGTGAACATCAGCGAATTCAAATCATACCACATAGCCGTAACAGTTTCGAAAAAAATAAAAAAAATATTTAAATGCCCAAATTTGGTGTCCAAACGAGACGGTCACATTCATTCAACCACGAGCTGTCAGCAAAGCAAGACATACAGGCCGTTTCAAGAGCAAAATAAACTGTTTATAACTGTACCAAAACAGAAAAATACAGACGATTGCGGTATTTACGTACTGAAAACGATGGAACGAGTTGAAGGAGCACCCGAATGCATCTCCAAACCTTTCACAGCAAAGATGGCAGCAGAGAAACGCGCTCACATATAAGATATAATACCTTCAGACATCATAAAGACACAACTACGAACAATGACGCAGAAGTAGTAGAGTCACCAACTTTGTCACAACCATCCGCAAAGGTACAGCTCCCACCTGAAGGCGTAAAAATATCCATGGCCGACGCAAACGGAACAGGACTAGAGGCCTTCCCACAGATCGCTGAAAGAGTCAGAAGGAGGCTCACGGACCTCACGACCGGCTTAAATTTACTACCGACAAATACCAAGTGGCCATGTATCGGTGGGAGTACAGATTGGAATGAAGCCAACAACAACTGCAAAACCCTACTAGAGAAAAAAAACAGGAAAATTGCTAATTCATAATATATTTGCAAAACGAATTTTAAAACAATATGAAAGAAAACTATGAAATTGAAAAGAAGAGCTAAGAAAAAAATTGATAGATGTGAAAACAAAAAAATATTATTTAAGAATCTGTACTTAAATTAAGGAAAAAAAATGCATTTATAAGAAAAAAAGAAAAACTTGATGTAATCGAAAAGGAAGAAAAAAAAGTGTTAATATGTAAAAGTGGAAAACTTTATATAATAATGAAAGGAAGCTTCAACTTTGGCAAATTGTTCAAGAAGCAAAAACAATGTAAATCACCAAGAAAAATATATAATTAAGAGTGAATTTAAGAATAATTTAATTAATTTAGTGTCAATTTTATGGAAAAATTTAATAAAAGCTTTCATTGTAAATTAACAAAAAGAAAAGAAATATTGCAAATTAGGTTGAATTTTGCATGTCATCTGATGCAGTGGGAGTTGATGGATTTAGCGTACCGAAATACAAATTTTGAACTGTTAAAATTTAGTAAAATTTGATTTGTCACCGACTCCTAAATATTTATTTGTGAAATCGATAGCGTTAAAACTGGTTAAGTCGATATCAGTATGCGACTGTGTTCTTTCTAACACATGCTAACTTAGCACCACGTGTTTTCCAAAACTGACGTGCATACTTTGGTTTTTGGAATTGGCGAAATAATATTTTAAATTAACCTGGTGCTCCTAGTTTTTTGTGTTTCTACAATAATAAGGCTTATATTAATAGAAAATAAATGTTTTGTGCCCTGTGTATTTGTATTGTATTATTAATTTGTGTTTGTACCTAATAACCTTCTCATAACCTATTTGTGAGAAAATTTTATCTTCTGTAGAGAAAAACTTTATGAAGCAGGGATTGACTGGTAAAAAGAGTATAATTGTCTAAAAGTATGATTCGTCCACTGTTTAAATTGTCAAAGATTAGCTGCCCATACTTTTAATGTTTAATTTTTTTAGCGATCAGCGATTTTGTTTTTTCAAGCGTTGGA